AAGACTTGCGTCTTGGCCCACTCGCACTTCTTCGCATTGATCTTGAAGTTAGCCTCTCTAAGCTTCTCCAAGACCTGCCTTAGATGACCCTGGTGCTCCTGGAGGGTCTTACTAAAGACTAAGATATCATCTAAGTAGACTACCACAAATTTATCTAACCACGGTCTAAACAGGTCATTCATGCAACGCTGAAAAGTAGCTGGCGCGTTGGTCAGTCCAAAGGGCATCACTATAAACTCTTAATGCCCATATCTAGTCCGGAATGTAGTCTTGTACTGATCATCAGGATGGACTTCTATCTGATGGTATCCGGACTTTAAGTCTATCTTAGAGAAATACTTGCAACCCTGCACCCGATCTAAAAGATCGTCTATCCTGGGCAGCGGCTCAACATTCTTCACGGTGATCGCATTCAAACCCCTATAGTCTATACACATTTTCAGATCTCCTTCCTTCTTGGGGACAAACAAAACGGGCGCTCCAAAAGGAGACGAACTGGGCCTGATCCAACCTTTCTCAAAGAGTTCGTCTAACTGCTTGCGAAGCTCCTCTAACTCTCTAGGGGACATCCTGTAGACTGCACCCTTAGGAAATCTGCTGTCATGCTCTATCTCTATCCTATGCTGGATGGGTCGCGACACTACTCCTGTCGGCGACTCAGTCAAGTCTTTGAATTCTTCCAGCAGCTTGGCAATTGTTGGATCTGTGGAACTATCCTTTTCCTGGGCCTCGGTGACAGGTCTAACATAAACTACAAAGACCTGGTCTTCTAACTGCTCCTTGTTTACTAATCGCGCGAACGCGGGAGCACTGAGACAACAATGTGCCAAGGTGTTATCTATACCAGACACATGGAACAAGCGGGCAGTCTTAACCTCGCCTGACGGACTAGGGAGCCTACACTCATGCTCTCTCAAATGAAGTGTAGCCCCTGCTGCCTCTCCCCAATCCATTCCTAACACTATATCGAAAGGAAGGTCATCCTGCACGAGGAGAGTCAGGGAATGGAGAATTTTCTCCACCTTCCAATCCTTCTCTAGGCGAAAATATGCCTGGACCCCCTCTACATAGTCCTCAACGCGCATCGTGCGGTTGTCTGCGAGGACACTGACTATGGGGTCTGCTAGCTTTTGGACCTTTAGTCTTAGCCTCAGCTTCTTCAGCGCCCTACGGCTAATGTAACTACGGGTTGCCCCTGAGTCTATAAGGGCCCCTACTCTACTCCTGAACACCTCTACGTCTACCAAAATCAGTTGTCCCTTACTCTCCCTTTTCATTTTGGCCCAGGCTGACATTCTGTCCTTTAACTCTTCTGCCACACCTGTGAGGGACGTGCCTAAAGAGACGCTAACACAAGCAGACTCTGGACAGCTACCTAGGCACAAGCCTGCAACCTCTGCCATAGGCTCATGTGGGTTGGGAGTGTCCTGTTCGTGCACGCTCACTTCTCCACATGGCCTGGAAGTAGGGGCAGTTGCGACCCCTACTGGCGGCTGCCTTTTGCCTGCTGAGCAACCCAACGGGCCTGTCTATACTTTGGACAAAATTTAATTATGTGCGCCGGGTCACCACAAAATACGCACTGACCCAGGTTCACGCGTTCCTGCCATAAGCGCTGGTCCAAGCCCAAATCTTCCCAGGGCCTGCCCTGCGGCAAGCCTGGGTGCCATCCTCCTTGAGGTGCCCTTCCACCTCCTCGTTGTGGGGACC